GAGTGACTTGCTTCCGAACAGCAGAAGATGGAGGAGGGAAAAAGTAACCTAACAGTGGAGAAACCTGGCAAATGTAACTTCAGCCAGATGATCAGACTTCTCATCATCTGTGATAAATCGGGTTACTAGTACCTACACTGACGTAACATCATGAGGATGGTACTTCACCTCTGTGGCCTTCCTTCCCCAAACCCATAATCTCAGTCTAACCATGAGAAAAAATAAAAAAAAAATCCGAATGGAGAGATGTGCTACAAAATACCTGATCTGTACTATTCAAAATTGTCAAGGCATCAAAAACAGGAAGTCTGAGAAACTGCCAAACACAAGAGAAGGCAAAGGAGATAGGATGATTGAATAATGTGGTATCCAAAGTGGACAGAAAAAGGACAGTAAGGAAACAGTAGTGAAATGTGAATCAGCTGCGGAGTTTAGTTAGACTTCCTTCCAACAATGTGCCAATGTTGGTTCTTTAGTTGTGATAAATGGACCATAGGAATATAGCATGTTAATGAGAGAGGATACTGAGTGAGGGGTACATGAGAACTCTGTACTATATTTCCAACTTTTCTGTAAATCTGAAACCATTTCTTAAAATTGTATTTATTAAAAGTAGAGAATTGGTGTTCATAAAATAGTCACAGAGATGTAATGTTCACCATAGGGAATATAGTCAGTAATCCTATATAATAAAGAGGTAATATGTGAATTAACCCTCATGCCCTCACAAGATGACTGCCTACGACTAGGCCAGCAGGGGGGTTAGTGAGGGACAACCAAACAACTAAACAGCAGGCTGCGTGGGGTGACCAGGCTGGCCGGGGGGGGGGGCAGTTAGGAGCGATTAGGCTGGCAGGGAGGGGGCAATTGGGGGCAACCTGGTTGCAGTGGTGGGCAGTTAGGGGCGACCATGCCAGTAGAGGGGCAGTTAGGAGCGATCAGGCTGGCATGCAGAGGCAGTTAGGGGCAATCAGGCCGGCATCGGGGAGGGGGCAGCTAGGGGCGACCAGGCAGGTAGGCAGGTGAGCAATTAGGAGCCACTGGTCCAGGATTGTAAGAGGGATGTCCGACTACATGGAAATTTACATGTAATTTGTGTATCTTTAAAAATACAATTTACCAAATTGATCCCAGTAAAAATAGGAAATTTATTAAAATCCCCAGGATCAGGCCTAAACTGGCAGTCGGACATCCGCCAAGGGGTCCCGGATTGGAGAGGGTACAGGCTAGGCTGAGGGGACCTACCCCCATGCACGAATTTCGTGCACTGGGCCTGTAGTGTTGTAATAACTATGTATGATGCCAGCTGGGTCCTAGAATTACCAGGGGGAGCACTTCCTAAAGGATGTAATTGCCTAACCGCTATGTTGTGCACCTGTCACTAATATAAAATAATAGTGAATGTCAACTATAATTGAAAAAAGTAAATGGAGAAAACATAAAAAGTAACTAATTGTATTTACAATAAAAATTAAATAGAGACCTTATTTAATCAGGAGCAAAATAATTTAAAGCAAATAATGTTGAAATGGTAATATTGAGATCTGGCTAGGTGGCTCAGTTGGTTGGAGCATTGACCTATACAGCAAGAAAGTTGGAGGCTCAATCCCTGGTTGGGGTGTGTACAGGAGGAAAACAACTGATGTTTCTCTCTCACTTCCTCTCTAAAATCAATAAAGACATCCTCAGGTGAGGATTAAAAAGAAGGTAATATTGAAAGGCAGGTAGTGGATACACTATGGTTTGTTATATTACTTTATATACCAGCTTTTCACTTTTGGTTATTCAGAAGTAGCTCACATCAGGCCAATGCTCTGATCAAACAAATAGAAAATGGAATCACACACACACACACACACACACACACACACACACACACACACCCTCACTCACTCACTATTTGAAAGCATCTGTAAGCTGCTGAGGCAATCAGAACTTGCCTGGAGAGAAGAGGATTCTAGAAAAGTGAACTGAGATTCTTCCAGCCTCTTTTCCATTATGGAAATATGTCAATTATTTGGCACAGATCAAGAGTTCTGTACTCCAAGCTGAGGGCTACCTCTAAGAGACCAAGATACCAACAGAGCTTTCTGCATTCCCACTGAGCTAGAGAGACAAAAATGGAAATACAGTACTTTAAAAGCAGCTAGAATTTAGGAGCCCATGATCTCAGAGAGACAAGAAGTACAGTGCTTTCTCCCTTAAAGCATTTGGTTTATTCTTAAGTTAGCATATTAAGAGATTAAGAAAATAAAACAGAAAATTATTGAAAAAAAGAATGGTGTTTGAGTTTCACAATATTGTGAGAAAAAAAATTCAAGTTTACAACCCACCAACAAGAAAGATCTTAGGAAGGACAGGACAATAGATTCAAACTGAAGCACAGAGAAAAGTGGCTTTAAAAAATGAACAGAATTTGCCCTAGCAAGGTGGCTCAGTTGATCGGAGCATCATCCCATACACCAAATTGTTGAGGGTTTGATTCTTGGTTAGGGCACATACCTAGGTTGCAGGTTCAATCCCTGCTAGGAATGGGGCTGGGAGGCAACCAGTTGATGTTTCTCTCTCACCTGTCTCTCTTTCTCACTCTTCCTCTCTTTCTCTTTCTCTCTTTCTGTCAAATTAATAAACATATCCTTGGGTGGGGATTTAAAAAAATGAAGCAGTCCAGTATGCTGTTGGATAGAATCAAGTAGTATAACTGAAACATAGTGGTCCCTCCTTTGGAAAAACTGCTGTTTGAACTACTCTGTTATTCTTGGTCTCTTATTCTGTAGGTCACCTCTGTTATTTTTAGAGTGTAAAATAACTTTGTTTTTTGCTTGAATAGAAAAGATAAACTTAATTGTCTGACCTTGCAAGCTAGCCATCTAATGGGGCTGATACACTATATTAATTCACATATTCTGCCAAATGTTTGTTCATCCAAGGTTATAGGTGTTTGATTAGATATAATATGTACTCAAAATTATAAGTTGTCTGTATAGATATTATAGGTGATTAGATATGATATGTATTCAAGGTTACAAGCTGTCTTACACAAAGAACTAGAAGGATATAAAAAGGAAATACTCCCTCTTGTGTTTGTTCAGAATTTGACAGAGGTAATCTGCTCTGAACCTGCGTGCAATAAAGATGACTCCTAACTAATTGGCTCCTTAGGCATCTTGTCCAGCTCGCTGCTTTGTGATACAACATAACATATACTGATATTTACTTTCCAACAAATTGAGAAAGGAAAGATGTAGAAAATAATTTTCAAAGATACAATGCTTGGAACATTTTCCAAATTTAATAACAATTGTAAATCCACAGATCCCCCCAAAAAGCTCAACAAGGCACATGATAACCTTTTGCTTAAAATTAATAAAGAGACAGTCTTAAAATCAGCTACAGAAAAGAAAACAATTGCATATAAAGATAATAAGTATTGCTGACTTCTCATAGGAAACAACACAGGTCAGAGAACAACGTTGTGTCATTTTTAGAATGATAAAGGAAAAAATGCCAACCTAGAATTTTATATCCAGATTATATAGCTTTCAGAAGTCAAGGCAAAAATACAGAAAATTGCAGTCTCCTTAGAAAATTTGTTGCCAGCCAATATGCACTACAAAAATATTTCCTTCAAGCTGAAGGAAAATTATTCTAGATAGAAATTCAGACTATACAGAAAGTAAATGCTAAAAATTATAAAAATGTGGGCAAATATAAAAGCTGTTTTTCTCATTTAAACATTTAAAAATTATAACTATGCAAAGCAAAAATAATAAAAATTTACTGTAGAAATATAAAACATGTGACAACATTAGCAAAAGGACACGAGGAGAAATGGAAGCATGCAGTTTTAAAGTTTTTATATATTACATGAAATAAAACAGCATTGTGCTGTTGGATAGAATCAAGTAGTATAACTGAAGCATAGAGGCCCCTCCTTTGGAAAAACTGCTGTTTGAAACTGCTTTTTGAACTACCCATACACCAGACCAAGGGGGGTTTATCTCTGCGGTGCAATGATAGTTACACATACACAAATCAGTAAATTTCATACATCACATTAGCACAGTGGTTCTCAACCTTGGCTGCACATTAGAATCACCTGGGAATCTTTTTTAAATCCCGATTTCTGGGCCTCATCCTCCAGAAATTCTGTTTCTTTGTTATGGGGTGGGGCCACAACATTAGTAACTAAGAAACAGAATTTCTGGAGGAAAAGGCCCAGAAACCAGGATTTTAAAAAGATTCCCAGGTGATTCTAATGTGCAGCCAAGGTTGAGAACCACTGCATTAGCAGAATGAAAGATAAAATTCATACGGTCACCTTAACCATTAATCAACAAATGGTTAGAACTAATCAACAAATTAAGTGAAGTTGCAGGATACAAAATTAACATACAAATCAGTTGCATTTCTGTAGACCAACAATGTACATCCAAAAACGATATTAAGAAAACAATTCCATTTACAATAGCATCAAAAACAATAAAATGCTTAGGAATAAGTTTAACCAAGAATAATGCTTTTTGAAGACAGACAGTGATAAGTGAAAGATGTCTATTGTAAATTCTAGAACCACCACTAAAAAGAGAAATATGGCTTATAAGGCAATAGAGTAAGTACAAAGAAAAATGATGTTTTAATATTATGTTCATTCAAAAGAAAAGGACAAAACAGGGAAAATGGAATAACTCACAGACAGAACAAATTGAAAACAACTGTAAGATAGTATATTCAATTTTACCATATCAATAATTACATTAAAAACAAGTGCAAGGTTAGAATACCATTTCCTAAAAAGTCCTTCTAGCTCCAATAATAACAAAATAAAGGTAACAGGATTTCTTACTTTAGAAATATAAGATTTATGTTATTAGAATGTAATCTTGAATAACTTATTGTGTATCTCCCAATATGGAAAATCGTTACTGTGCTTCGAATTCCTGTAGGTGTTTGCCATCTGCCCATATAAATTGCCTGGATGGTGTTGAAAGTTAACGTACCTTCCAGTAAGTCATTCATCTTTTCGCCCCATTTGGCAAAATAAAGGGAGCCACTTCCTGCCCAGGGAAAGCAGATCAGCCTACAAACTGCATTAGGCTTTGGGTATAAGCAGCTCACAGCTTTTTCATTCCTGGAGGAAAAGAAAAATACAGTTAACATTACACATATCAATTAATTCACCCAAACTGAATTAGGTGTGTTTTAATGGAAATCATTATAAGTTACAAGGAGAATATGTTCAACTATAAAGTGAGTGTCAATTTTTCCAATAAGAACTCACCCTCTCCCGCCCCCCCCCCGCATAAAGGTTTTATGGTTTGTTCTTGACAACTTGAATATGTAAACTTTTAGAGTATAGATAAAATAGTCAAATATTTCTACATAACATTTAGCAAGTACATTTAATATGCACATTTAAAATGATAAAAAATGTTATTTCAGAAATTGCCTTTTTCACAATTTAGGGATTAGTTTTATCTAAACAGTTTATGGGCAGCTTTGATCTCAGTGTCCTGACTTAACCCTTTTCCCATATTCTCAGCACAGTATACAAGTGGGCCACTAAGTGGCAAGAAGTAGAGAGCATATTTGGGAAGCTTTGGATTAGACTCGCAGCGGTTCTCAACCTTTGGGTCGCGACCCCTTTGGCAGTCGAACGACCCTTTCACAGGGGTCGCCTAAGACCATCCTGCATATCAGATATTTACATTACAATTCATAACAGTAGCAACATTACAGTTATGAAGTAGCAACGAAATTAATTTTATGGTTGGGTCACAACATGAGGAACTGTATTTAAAGGGCTAGAAGGTTGAGAACCACTGGATTAGAGGGTCAGGGACAAGAACTTCCTCTCCACTTGGGTGTGAAAAGTGCACTTCACCTTCACCTCTCCTCATCCACACAAGTGCTCCAGCCAAGTCGCGGATGTACACGTTCACTTTAAATCACTACCAATTCAATACCGTTGTACAAAGTGAGTGGTTAGTGACATGTACAATGCCTTGCACTAGAAGCAATGGACACCGAATGAGGCTTCTGTTTGAAGCCCCTCTCAGTCTAGCAAGGTGGCCTTACAGAGCAGAGCGTCGGAGCACCTGGGGTGGGGCAAGGCCCAGGCTGCACCCAGTGCATACCTGGCTGCCCCAGCATTGTTTTCTTTGTCCATGTTGCGAGGAGATGGTGCACAATTGCTGGTCTCGGCAGCTTGGGAGTCAATGCCAAATTCAATCCCTCTTGTGCACACAGAAGAATGACCAGATTTATTTTTAAATCTGTTGACTGTATTTACTGTTTCAACCCCTATTTAAAAAAAGAAGTGGGTTAGAAGCAACATAACTGATGTACTCCAAGCACAACTGAGCCTCCAGCTAATACAGAGAGAAAAGGTGCAACATTTTAAAACTCTAACAACTGAACAACCCTGCAGGTGAATCAAGCAGAAAACAGTGCCTACCTGAAAACTGGGCTAGGAAGGGGATGTTTGTTTTTAAAATATAAATGTTTTGGTTTCCTAAATAGTTATATTTTCTCTACAATCTTAAGAAAGAGATAGGAAGTCCAAAAAAGACTTCACTACTGTGCCAGATTTCCAATTCAGTGAGCAGCAAGTACTCAGAAAAGAAAAATAATTAGCAAAAGGTCTGCCATTTGTAAAGGCTTTACCTCTTTACACCATAGGAGCTCCTCGAATCCCAAGAAGTAACCTTGTCTCAGTCCTCAGCTGCGAATCTCAGAACAGCCCTGGGAGCCCAGGCAAATCCTTCAACCTACTCAGCCCTTAGGGTGGCGAGCGGACCGGAGTGCCAGGAAGGCTTCTTCACCAGAGGCAGCACGTTCACAGAGACGGGAATCTGTCTCCAGAATCTTCTTTTTGTAATGATGGCCCAGAGCCAGTAAAACCCTCAGAAGAACCACCTGGATGACTCCTTAGGTTGATTCTCAGACAACGGTGTAAAATACAGAAAAAGATGGCTACTTCTAAGAAGGAAAATAGACAATCAAGAGTGATAAATATACATTTTCAGTGTTTATAACTGAGGGCTGTTATTGCTCTACAAAGCTTCAATAAAACTAGGTTAAATGTATCCCACACTTTCCAACTAAAATAGGTAAAACCTGTCTTTCTGGTGTCTGTTTATTTTTGACTGGCACATCTCATGATCAGTTGGACTTGGATTAAAATGTTACCCAATGGGGAACCAAAGATGGCGGCATAGGTTAACACCAGAGATTGCCGCCTGGAACAACCAAGTCAAATTAAGCTTGATCCAGGGAAAGGACAACGTCCAGAGCCACAGGAGGGCTGGCTGAGTGGAAATTCTACAACTAGGAGTAAAGAGAATATTATACCCAGACTCAGAGGCGGCGCAGTGCTGAAGTGAAATTCTGAGGTAACGAGGGCGCGCGGAGCGGGGCTGGAGGCGGCGCGGACGGCGGCTCGGGGGGAGCGGCGCAAACAATCCGG